AAATTTATGATATCGGTATCGGACATAAAAAAGTGGTATCGTGCCATCTCTACTAATTACTGTGTGACCCGATTTAGGAGATTTTTCTAAAACCAAACAAAACTGAAATTTTGCGTCTCATCAGCAGATTTGGGTCCTGCAGCAGAACAACACTTCCTTACATTGGTTTTAGATCCGTGCTTGTCAAACATGCGAATTACAAGAAATATGCAAAAATTATTTGCAGAGTCATGTGGTGGGAGTCAGTTTGTGATGTCATATCTAGAGATGGGAATTGATAAGAATTTAGCGATTCCGATTCCATTATCGATATCACTTATCGATTCTCATTGTCGCCACCATCTCTAAGCAACATATGAAAGACATTACATTCATGCAAATTAATTACATGTTGTCTGCTATTTCCCTTCTTTGTTCTGGTCATTGATAAAAATAAAGTTATAACACATGATGCACGGAATACTTTAAGGTAATGCAGTATGTTACTTAATTACTCCCTGGAGAAAGACGGTCGTTATACTAATCGTTACTTTACTTTTATTTTACTCTGTAAACTGATCTGAAACACACTGTCTCATAATTTCAGTTAACAGTAGAAACCTACAGGCTACGGCTCCCACACACCAACACAAACCCCTCTCCGTGACCCGTTTCTGCTTCTGCAGTAAAGTGAGCACAGCGTAGAGCTCAATACATCGATATTTTGTGTAAAATTTTGTTTCACTATAATAATATAGACATTTACATAAATATACTTTGTTTCATATTAAAGATAATGTGTTAATTCTAACACGTGATGCAACCTAAAGCCAACCTTCAGCTCCTGACGTCACAGTGAAACTGTCTTATACACTTTCCTCCAGGACCCCGGCTCGACATGGATCCGGACATTGTAGCAGCGCTCGACGATGACTTTGATTTTGAGAACCCCAACAACATCCTGGATGATGATTTCATCATCAGAGCAAACAGTGGGACTGGAGCTGTGGACATGGAGTAAGACTTTCAATAGTCAAAATTTTCTTTTTATTCCTCAAAGGTCATTTATGTATTTTATAAAAACGAGATTATTCCAGATTTGTGATTCTAGACATTTAGAGACTTTTGTAAAGCCCGAATGAAACTGTAACTGCAAGGCTGATTTCTATGCCTAAAAATTCATTTTCGCTACAGCAACATTGTTTAAATGTGACTTTTGGTGCTTTAACTTTTATAACACAATCAGAAAAGTATTTTCTGATCATCAAAACACCCCAATCTAAAGCTTGAGCTGTATCTCAATCCATTTTGAATAGAACAGGAAGTCCAGGGCTCGCAAAATCGCTAGCCCCGTCCCGGTGCTAGCGATATCTCCGGTCGGGCGACCAAAATCTATCTCAGCCCCGCCCGTTGGACAGGGCTGAGATAGATTTTGGTCGAGCGATTTTGCGAGCCCTGGGTTCAGAGTGCATGTAGATGTTAGCTGGCACAGCCAGTATTTAATATATTTAACCTAATGAATATATTTAATACAGTGCAAAAATTCTGTCATATCCTGTTGTAATTGTTTGTATTTGTGTAACCTGTGATAGAGGAGACGGTCATGATGATGATGATGACGAGTGGGAGGACACAGATGAGGAAGGCGACTTTGACTCTGAAGGCGGGTTTTCCAGCAACGAGGACGCGGAAGCGGACGGCCGAGAGTTTCTGTTCATGGACGAGGAGACGAAGAGTCGCTTCACTGAGTACTCGCTGACGTCGTCTGTGATGAGGAGGAACGAGCAGCTCACCCTGCTGGACGACCGCTTTGAAAAGGTGAACATTTTTGCATTCGAGTCTTTTCTCTGTGAGGAACTCTCCCCATCTTCATGTAAAAGT